TGATCACTTGATTAAATAACAAGATTAAAAAGGAACCTAAACCGGTTGTCCAAATTATCTTATTAGTCGTGATTTTCAATTACATATTTCCTTTTGACATGAAATATGGTGATCATAACAAATATAATAGAGTAAACATTAATATTGGAAGCAATTTAAAAATAATTCCAACAACATAAAATCGTTAGAAAAATAATAAAAATAAAAGGAGCATGACTCTTACTTTGATTCTATTTTTTTGCAACTACAAAATAATAAACGAGTTAGTAACTTCAAGGATATAATAAAGCAATAATTAAATTAAATTAAATTAAATAAAGTAAAGTTAATTTTGGGGCCAAACCCTCAAACAATTCTACCTTTCACGCCTAGCTTAAGGATGGAACCACGAGTAAGGTATGAACTCCTTTGAATAATTGAAGAAGGAATTTTGAAGTAGAACAGGGTAGGCTAGTGTTTAGGCTAAAGCATAGAAGAGAGAAAATAAAATAAGAGAATTACCCGGTGCCCCGTTCATCAGAAATGAGGGGGTATTTATAGGGAAAATGTGCTGAGGGAGCACACGGAACCCTAAAATGATAAAAACCCTAAAAAATTATCCCGTGACACGGTCAAACTGTACCGTGACACGGGAAGCCCCACCGTCAGACGGTACACTTTCCCGTGACACGGTACACTTTTGGCGTGACGCGGGAAATTTTCAGAAAACGGGATAGAAAACGCGTCAAGGTTCTACGCGGAAAAGACAGGGAATGTTCCGTGTCACGGCAGACTTCCCGTGTCACGGGAAATCCCACCGTCACACGGGAAGGATTCCCGTGACACGGTAGGTACCTGCCGTGGCGCGGGAAATTCCAGCCCGTTTTTCCGTCTAAATACATTTTTAACCCTAATTTCCTTCGGCATTTTAAGTGCCGATTGATAATTTCGGGCCTTTTCTGACTTTTTATTATTCGGGCTAAAATAAGAAAATAATTAAATAAAAATAAATAAAGGGTTTGGGCCAAAAACAAATAATAAAACAATAAAATAAAAAAGCTTTGGGCTAGAATTAATTAATAAGTTTGGGCTGAAATTAAAACTATGCTTTTACCAAACATCAAGACTAATCCATGGACTATTCAAAAATATGAATTTAATAAAATACGATTTTTTAAGCACTCTCGAGATTAAATACTGAACCCGACCAATAGTGGCGGTGAAAGGTTGTTCATCATCGGGTTTGACTTTGGGGAGACATTTTTAGGTGTCTACAGAAGCCCCCACTTTGACTGAGTTTGTAGAAACGTCAGTTTCGAAAACGATAGTCAAAGTAGCCGATAGGGACGGAGAATGATTATAGACGTTCTAAGATCCTAAATCACTCTGTATACGCCGATACCTGTAGAAAAATGTTAGTTCTACAGAGAAAAGGAGTAAAGGGATAGAATACGTATCTAACACCAGTGTATCAGTGACAAATGAGTTTGGTATTTTCCTATGCTTGAAGGAATCCACCGGATGACGTTTGTTGAAATGCTTTCCATGCTTGAGGAAAGCCGACTAAAGAGTTTGGTAGCTTTCTAAGCCTGAAGAAAGCTACCGGATAATACTTTCCAAACCTGAGGAAAGTCGATGAACGAATTTGGTGTCATTCTATGCTTGAAGAATTTCACCGATAATGCCTTCCATGCTTGAGGAAAGCCGACAAAGGAATTTGGTGGTTTTCTATACTTGAAGAAAAATCCACCGATAACACTTTCCATGCCTGAGGAAAGCCGACTTGGCGGTTTTCTATACTTGAAGAAAAATCCACCGATAACGTCTTCCAAGCCTGAGGAAAGCCGACTTGGCGGTTTTCTATACTTGAAGAAAAATCCACTGATAACGCCTTCCAAGCCTGAGGAAAGCCGACTTGGCGGTTTTCTAGACTTGAAGAAAAATCCACCGATAACTCTCTCCAAACCTGAGGAAAGTCGACTTGGCGGTTTTCCATACTTGAAGAAAAATCCACCGATAACGCTCTCCAAACCTAAGGAAAGCCGACGATTGCTGAAATTTGTAAGTGTATGATGGTTCGATTATCCCCGAACGTGGGCCGCAGTTAATTCACACCTTTAAGCCGATTATCCGACCGTATTAGGCACTTAAAATGCCGAAAAATGGACTTTGATGCTTGCTAGGGGTAAAATGGTAATTTTAGTCCCCATTAAGTATCAGTTAGAATTTTCCGCGTAATTCCAGCGAAAAATAACCGCCCAATAATCTCGAAAAATCATTCAAACTAGTCAAAAACGCCCGGAATATTTGCTGACAATGCGCAGGGTTGCCGTGCCACGTCACTTGTTTGCCGTGACACGGTCACATCTCCAGTCAGACGGGATGAACTCCCGTGTCACGGTAATATTTTACATATATTTTTTTTTGCTATTTGAATCGGTCAACGCGTGAATCATTGTGCTTTTTATCGACAAATCCCAGCGCGCCACGTCATCAGTGTACCGTTACACGATAACGGTAACCGTGGCACGGTGAACGGGGTGCGTAACGGTTACTTTTTTTTGGCTTTAAATTCATACTTCTACTTTACTTCTTTCACCATTTCGCCATTTCCTTGTTCATCTTCTTTCTTTATCTTCTCCATTTTTATCTTCTTGCTCACCAAATCGCCGCGCAACGGTTCAGACAACCGACGGTCGTCCGGCCTCATCGTGACACGGTAACGGCAACCGTGACACGGCGGTTCTTTTTTTTCTTTCTCTTTTTTTTTTTTTTGCTTTTGCTGCGAGCTGCTGATGTTCATCTTGTTGTTGTTCGTCGGTGCTGTTGCTGCACAACAGGGCTCCGGCGACCTTTGTTCTTCCCGTGACACGGTTTTTAATTCCCGTGACACGTCGATCTTCCGCCGAGCCGAGGCCAAGCTCAACCGTGTCACGGCGGCCGCGTAGATTTTCGAAACTTTTCGAGCTTTTGGAGCTCAAATTTTCGCCAATTTTGCTCTAATTTTCTGCCACTTTCCTCATTTTCGACTCTCTACAAGGATCTATGTAAGTTCCTCTTATTTTTTATCTTAAATTTGCTTCAAGTAATTTCATGAAAAACCCTTAAAAATCAATTTGGGGATTTTTAATATTGAGGTTTTATGTTGAAATTCTTGCCATGATTTTACTTGTATATGTATGTATGTGTGTTTGTGAGAAATTTGAGACAAAATTTGCATGATTTGATGGAGAATTGAGCAAATCGCCATTTTTTGGTACTACTTTGTGAAATGATGTTCATGTTACTTCTCTGTACATGAAATGGTGAAAAAATGGTGGTAAACCTTGTGATGTGTTGATTCATTGTTTTTGTGCAACTTCGAAACATATTTTGCGTATATACTATATTGTCATGGAGAACATAGTATCATGCGGCTAGGAGAACTGTAGTATTAGTTTGTCATGGAGAAACTAAATACCATAATTTTGCCAATTTTTAGCCTGGAGGTAAAAATTTAGCGTATAATTCGATAAATAACTAAATAACTTAGGAAATGATGCTAAGTATTTAGATCTTTATTTTCATGAAAATGCAACTTGAATTAAATGTCTTAGGATTTGATGCTAAGCATTTAGATTTTTATAATAGCATGCCTAGGCGACGAGACTGCGATCTTTCTACCCTCGGCCGGCGTCGGGCTTTTCGGGAGGACACTCCCACCATTCCTGAGGGTATGGACGACGATGCTTTAGAGTCCGAGCCTCGGGCATCCGCGAGTAGAGGTAGGTGGGTTCCACCTCCGTGGACTCCAGGCCAGTTGGTTTTCTTCCATGAAAACCATGTCTCTCATCGCTCACTCTCCAACATAGTCGATGGCACGCTTCGCCACCACGTTCTAGAGCCGGAAATTTGATCCCTCGACTTCACCAGATCATTACGAGGGATCCTGCTACGAACGCCCTATGGGAACCGGTTGGTTTAGTAGATTTCTATACGGCGGTTGTAGGGTTTTGCTGCCCCCGGGGTTGCGTTGCGACGGTCGTTCGCGCATTGTTGGAGTATTTCTGGGATACTACCAACACTTTCCATTTTTCTTGGGGGAAGATGACGGTGACCCCTCTAGACTTCAGTATGATCAGCGGGCTGCGCTTCACCGACCGGGCTGTAGTTCAGATGTCTGATCTGTCTTGGGGATCGGCTGAGACAGCTGATTTGTTGGGTCCGATCGTTCAGCACATCAGGACCCGACCATTGTCTCGAGGTGGTCCTAGGAGCGGACGATCGGAGCTAGCTTCAGTTTTAGCTCGTGGCTTCGACATGGAGGATACGACGGCTGAGCAGCGAGTGCGGATCTTCATCCTGATCCTGATCTCTATGACCCTTTCTCCTGATAGGAGTTCGCGTGTACTCCTTTGCTACCTCCCCGCTCTGGTCAGGATCCATGAGATAGAATCCTATAGCTGGGCCAGCCTTGGATACGCCGATCTCCTCTTATCGTTACGTCATGGTTGTCGGCAGCTGAATGACGAGTCTCCCATCACCGTCTATGGTCTGTGGAGAGTCGTAGAGGTGATGATCTTTTCCCTTTTTGTTTCACTTTAACTTGTTCGACTCATGTGCTAAAGATTACTTTTCATCGCAGCTATGGTTCTACGAGTACTTCCCAGGCTTGGCTCCTCGCCGGCGTCGTGGAGCGGTCCATGATTTCCCTGTCGGGGCCAGTTGGCGTGATCGAGGAGAGTCGCGGGTGGAGTCTGACCCTGCACTGCGTGGGCTGCTATGCCGAGGCACCTCTTCTGTCGGCGTAAGATTCAGTTTTGTTGCTGTTATTTTCCCTCTAACGTCGTTTTTGTTGTTTCACGCCGACTTTTTATGGTTTTCAGGTTGCCATGATGTCCAGTATCGTCCTTGGGCCGGGATGACTGATCTACCTGAGGCCTTGCGTCTTTCTGCGCACCACACCATTTTGGTTGGTACCGGATGCTTTGTCTGGTATTTGGGGGAGCGAGTCGTATGTCAGCATAGCGGTGATTGTTTTGTGGTGCCCTCATCTCCACCAGAGTCGATGCTGGACTCACGCTTGATCAGAGAGTTGATCAACAGGGGAGAGCGCTATACTTTTCCATGGCAGGAGCTTGTACACATGGAGAGTGACTATGCGCGGGATTTGCTTCCCTTTCTGGCTCCTCCACCCCGTCTTCCTGAGGTATGATTTCTTTTGAGGATCTTCTTTATTAGTCTCTGTTTTAAACAGCCGAATAACTTGATTATTCGATCATATTTTCAGACGACTATTCGCCCTGTGGGGAGGATCGAGATTCCTCCTCAGTCTGTTCGCTATCCAGGGCCTATTGGTATCACAGAGGACCATATTGCTGACGCGCCAGTGGGTTACAGACAGGCGCAGGAGCCTCCGCCCGAGGTCTTTGAGCCGGTGAGTTTTCTTTGATGTATTATTCATCCTTTTAACACTGTTTGTTACTGACTTTTCTTTGTTTTATCCTCAGCCTAACCGCCCGGAGATGATGGGACTCATGAAGCTGGTTGACGCCCTGAAGTATTGCATCATCAAGCTTTGGCGTGGTGCGAGTTGTCGGAGCTCTAGCGACGTTCTTGAGGTATCATTCATTTTTATTTCTACCATTTGTTTTATTTTGCATTGTTGACACCTTTTGGTTTTGTATCTTTCAGGAGCCTGAGCTTGGGTCTCTTTTGACTCCCTTGGATCCTGGTTCATTTTCAGCTCCATTGTTCGGAATCCCTACACCGATGTCGGGCTTGTTCTCAGTTCCGATGTATGGGACGATGCCTTCACCGACGATTCCTGTGTCTTTGAGCCAGTCTACACCGTTTTCTGGCTGGACGGGTCCTGCCTTGAGTTTGACTACTGCTAGGGTCACGGGGACTAGTAGGGACACTACTCCCCGTACTCGGATGATGGAGGGACTCTTTGGCTCACCGTTCCCATGTTCGCAGGGTGGAGATGATACTGATTCTGGCTCTAGAGACTTTTGACCGAGGGTTTTTATTTGTACATACTATGATGACACTTGACATGTTTATTTATTACGACTCTTTTGTACATTATTCACAGTTTATGTATTATTATTGTGTGTTAGTGTGTGCTTGAAACTCATTGTGTGTGATCGTGTATTTATTAATGACGCGACAAAAAATATAAGTGGAGTAATGGAGGGTACCGACCTTCCCCAAAAGAAAAGGAAATAAAAAGACAAGCAAAAATAAATAAAAGGAAATAAAATATTACAGTGAGGAATAAATACCTTCCCCAAAAAATAAGATGATAAAAATATTAAAATAAATAAAACTACCTTCCCCAAAATAAAAAGAAATAAAAGACTAGATGATAAAGAAATACAATATTAAAGTGATGAATAAAATAAAGATAATAATAAAAGAAATAATAATAATAATAAAGATAAAAAAGTTGAGAATTTTATTAGAAATAAAACTCTCAGAAAACTAAAAAATAAACGGTGAAGATAAAATTCTATAAAAAAATCCGGATAGATACGGGAAAAGATGAAAAAAGAAAACGCATGGGGTTCCGTGACACGGCACTGTTCACCATGTCACGGCAGAACTTTCCGTGTCGCGGCAAAAGTTCCCATGACACGGTAGGACGTGCCGTGTCACGGTACGCGTATTACTCAGCGGTTTGTTTTACGTGTATAAAAAGATAAATTATGGGCAGTGTCGAGCGCTTTTGCTATAAAATAATACCAGTTTATTCATGATATGCATAATTACGAGCCACAAAATAATTTAGAATTTCATATTTCAATAATCATGTCTCAGAATTTTGATAATACATTGCGTGACTGGTCTTATTCTTTGACCAATGTTGAAAAAGAGAGTTAGAATTATTTCATGTCAGGGGTTTGCTAGCCCTGCGACATGTAGCTATTGAACATGATTTTCTTAGGGTAGCATTAGATTATTGGAGTCCAGAAACACACTGTTTTAAATTTGATTATGATGAAATATGTCCCCTGCCTGAGGAATTCGGCGCAATCTTTGGATTTCCTGCTAGAAATCTTATTGCCATGCCTACCCTACGTGAATATTATTACCAAGATTTTGAACGCCATCTGAATCTAACAGATCCAGATTTAAATAGAATTGTTTGTGGTAATGAAGTAGACTTAGAAAAACTTACTAATCTATATTTTTATCGCCCTATCTCCGAGTCTTATCATGTATATCGTAGAAGGGCATATATTTTTTGCATGTTTAGCAAGCTCTTATTTGCAAACGGTAGGGTAGGACATGCTTGTCTAGCGTCTGTGCTTCAACATGTCGAATCTGGAAGATCTCCTATGCCGACGTGCCTTAGAGAGACATTTCGTGGCCTTAACGAGGCAAAAGCTGACCGGAAAGCCATCAGGAAGGGCTCTCTGGACTACTGCACGTAAAAATACGCTCCGAGTAGCCCCCGTGACACAAAACAGGCACCGTGTCACGGTGGGTGTCTGTCGTGACACGGCAAAACCTGTCGTGTCACGGGAATCTGCATAATAATTTTATTTTTTTTTTCGACTGATTTTTTTTTCTCTTTTTTTTTTGCAGATTTGGTTGATGGAGCGTTTGGAACTATTCGAAGCCCCCGACGATGTTGAAAAATATGGCCCTAACGACCTAGTCCGCAGGAAAAAGAATTACTCTGCGAACATGTCGTATGAAGATTGGAAAAATTTCTTTGCAAAGAGGAAATTTTCCATTCGTTGGGTGGTGCCTTGGTGGAGGCTTACTAGGATGGTTGGCATGAATGATACTCCATATTGTTGTATTCCTAGTATCTCAAAACTGACCTTTTATTGCCCTTCTCGACTGATGCGGCAGTATGGACTTGAACAAGTAATTCCACGCTATAAGAATAGTCCTCGTGAAGTATCGTTGCATGAAAGTAACGTTCACAAGTACGAGGCTTATTGGATTGGAAGACTTTTATGGACCGTTTCTGCAAGTGACCAAGCTCCTCCTCCTTTATCTAGTGCATACAAGGCATGGTTGAACCCTAGAAGTAGGAGGGAACGATTCGGATCACGCAAGTCTGATGTGAAGAGTTGTCTTAGAAATAAAAAAGCTCCTCCTAAAGATCGTCTAGGTCTGAGAACACAAGGGATTGAGTTTAAGACTCCTATAATGCCAAGAAAGAAGAATTATGTGAAAGGAAAGGGTAAATAAAAGATTGTCTACAGGGAGAAACAACCGAAAAAATTCAAGAAAGGTGAAAGGGGTGAAAGTTCGACTAGGGGTGTGACGGTTCGGGCTACGAAAGACACATTAATGGTGAAGGCCGACCTAATTGACCAAGAAAAGGATGTTCCTACAGAGAAGAGAGATTAGATCAATAGTGCTTTGCTTTTTATGATTTATAATTTTTATTTAAAATAAGGCATATGATGCCAATATTTGTAGTCGTATTTATTTTAATAATAATAGCACATTTATTTCGGCCTTAAAAGAAATAAAAATTACAATGACTTTCATTGATTATTTATTTATCCGAGTCAAGGAGTCGGACGCAATGGAAGAACGAAAAAAAAAAAAAAAAAACTCGTACAAACAATGAATTCGCAACGAACGCATCACAAAAAAAACGGAAAATCTGAAATTCCACCGTGTCACGGTGAAAAATCCTGTGACACGGTACAAATTCCCGCGCCCCGGCATTTCCCCTTTTTTTTTGCGCTCAGGGTCACCGTGCCACGGTGAACAGTACCGTGACACGGTGGATTGTCCCGTGTCGCGGCAATTTCCCCTTTTTTTGACGTAATGCTGAATTGACGCGCATATTTGGTCAAAGAGGGAGGATTTTTATTTTTTAAAGTGGTCGGGCCCCCTTGAGGGGTTGCCTACGTATCCTAAAAAGGAATCAGGCCAAACGTAGCTCTATTGGGTCATGAACCCATGCGACTAGGCATATAATTTCTTGAGTTGATCCAAGTTGGTTAAATTATGGAAGCCGTTACCGTCCATGTCTACCAATTGTGCCGCTCCGCCGGACGGGATGGTTTTAACAATGTACGGGCCTGACCAGTTCGGTCTGAATTTTCCTCTTGGATCTAACACATTTTTACGAAGTGCCTTAAGCACTAAGTCACCCTCTTTGATATTCTTGGTCTTGACTTTTTTATTAAAATGTCGCGCCATACGCTGTTGGTAGGTTTGGACATGATGCAAAGCTGCCAAGAATTTTTCATCAAGTAAGACCAGTTCATCGTATCTTGCTCTAATCCAGTCGACTTCATCTAGTTGGCTTTCCAATGCGATTCGAAGAGAAGGGACTTCAAGCTCGATTGGTTGTACAGCTTCAACTCCATAGACCAAAGGGAAAGGGGTAGCCCCCGTTGATGTACGAACAGAGGTTCGATAACCCCAAAGGGAGAAATGTAGCTTATTTGGCCAATCCTTGTAATTTTCTGTCATCTTTTCGATGATAGTTTTCACATTTTTGTTGGCCAATTCGACTGCACCATTTGCTTGTGGTCTATAAGGTGATGATCGGTAATGCTTGATATGATATTTCTGTAATAATTCCGCGCATTCGGCTTGGAAATGTGTTCCATTGTCACTGATAATCTCATGTGGTACCCCATAGCGGCATATGATATTTCTCTCAATGAATTGAGCCACATGTTTCGTTGTCAGCTTAGCATATGAGGCTGCTTCGACCCATTTGGTGAAATAGTCGATTGCTACTAGAATGAATTCATGCCCCCCTTGTCCTGGTGGTGTTATTTTTCCAATGATGTCAATGCCCCAAGTGGAGAAAGGCCATGGAGAAGTATACGTGTAGAGAAGCGAAGGTGGAACATGCTGTAAGTTTGCGTAGACTTGACAATTCATACATTTCTTGACGTATTCGTGACAATCTCTCTCCATAGTAGTCCAATAGTAACCTTGTCGTTGAATCTTTAGGACTAACATCTTTGCATTCATGTGCGTTCCACATATACTGGCATGAAGGTTTTCCATGGTTTTATGTGCTTCTTTCTTGGCTATGCATAAGAGATTTCTTCCCATTGTAGTTCTCTTGTGGAGTTCTCCCCTGATGAGCACATACTATGAGGCCAGGAGCCTCAAAGCACGGCGTGCCCTTTTATCAGTATTAGGAGGGTATTCTCCTCTTGTCACATAATTAAGGATGTCTGTATACCATGGCTCTTCATCTTCTTCTTGTGGTTCTTGTTCATCGTCAAGTGCATGAACATAAGCCGGCTCATATCTTCTTTCTATGGTCAGTGGCATTTTGATTGTATCAGTTGGAATTCGCACCATTGATGCTAATTTAGCTAGTGCGTCGGCGGATTGGTTTTCTTCTCTTGGCAAATACGTATACTCCACTTCATCTAGTTGCTCCGTGAGAGTTTCTAAATGAGCTTGATACGTAGCGAGACTTTCACTTCTCACTTTCCATCTCTTGGAGATTTGGTTAATTATTAGTGAAGAATCACCATAGATTCTGAGTTTCTTAATTCCCAAGGCGACAGCTGTTTCTAACC